CACAAGTTGTTTTCAATCAGATAAAAACATCACAGAGTGACAAACAAGCAACTTCAGATGACTCTGAAATCCCTTGGGGTTTCACTCCGACTTCCTGAACTTCTCTAAAATCCACATACTTGTTAAGAAAGATGAGAAATTTAACTCGGAAGCACAGCACAGCCAGTGTTCCTAATCTGGATTTATTTAAATGAAGGATTTCTGAGGTACCGAAGAGAAAAATCTCCATTTCTTCAAGAGACAGATTCATTTGGCACCACTGCACTGATGATAACCCAAGGTAGTTTGATCGCTCACTCTTAACCCTTACTATATCCCTTTGACCAGGCCTGCTGGGCAGAAACTGTTTTACATGTGCTCTGCCAAATCACTGCAGATCACAGTGACACCCTCACCCATTTATCTCCCTCAATCCTCCCAATACCAGGTATACCTAGAACCTAATTTCACTAGAGGTTTCACCATTAAAATCCTGTTGGATACTGCCAGTCTTCAGGGCCCGCAGATGGCATGTGGGCATATACCTTATTTCAGTGTTTGCCAGCTTCCAGAAGCAATTGTTTAGTTAGACTTGGAATCTGGGAAGATTCCAGAGACCATTAAACAACCATAATCCTGAGTTGCATTTCACCCAATTTACCAAGACTTTTCTCAGTGCCACTTCATAAGGCTTTCCTACAGGTAAATTTCAAAAGCAAAGTTGGAGGGAATACGCAGCATCAGGTTATCTCACTCCTTCTCAGTGATTCTTGCACATACTCTCTCAAGCTTTCCACCAGGTCCCAGCTCCTCCTCTGTGCCCCAGAACTTGTTGGACCCTCCTGAGAACAGACTGCACTAACTAGTTCAGTAGAAAAACATGTATATTTCTGCCCGGTTAGACTTTCACCGGGCTGTGGGGTTGACTCACCCATTAGGACTTGGGAGAGAGAGCAATAAACATCAATTACTGAACAACATAAAGGATTGAAAAGGAAAACTGGAAATGAAAAAAAAAAAAAAAAACCCTTAGAAGCAGCTGACCATTAAATTAGAGCATCATCTCCTCTGAAATTACTGCCCAATCACTCTTTTCTCTGCCTGTTTCTTTATTCAGGCTTCAGTTCATGTCATATATGTTTAGTTCATAGAAAGATTCTTATTTTTTGTGGCTGTTTATTATCATATATGTTTGAAAAGATTATTTCACAGTTATTATAACGAGCTTTTTACAATTAGACTGAATGACACTGACCCATGCCTTCCTACTAAATTTTCCAGGAAGCAACAGCTCAGGACTGAAAGGTAATGATCCATAAGAGCTGCCCAGTGAAGCTCTACAGAAATCCTCTCAGCCTTTTAAAACAACCTTCAATTATTTTAATACTGCTGTTCTTCTCTCTTCTTATATAAATGTGCATGTATGAAAGCTTACAGAATTTCTTTTTAATGGTCACCTTTTTGTATTCGAATATGACAACAGAATTCTTTCCTATTCAACTATAGATTATTAAATCTGACGCCTCTGAAATAGCATTTTTTAAACTAGATTTTCCTATTCTTCCCTTTCCATAGGCCCACTTGTTGAAAAGAACAATCTTTTGTGCAAAAATCTTCCAGAATTACAGCTGTCTCAGTGAACATAGCTGCTGCTTTTTCCTGATTCAGGATCTTTGTTTTTTTACAGTACTCAGAGAATCATCAAATGGCTTGGGTTGGAAGGGATCTTAAAGATTCTCTAGTTCTTACCTCCAATTCAGTGTATTCATTGGTAATATAGCAAAAACTATAAACAGCTTATAGCAGGAAATGGGTCTTCCATGTGATTCTTTCTGCCAGCACCCTCCCTTCTAACAGTGGGTAGCCTGAGCAAAAATGTTGAAGGAGAGGGTCCCTCGGGTATTACATTTCAGCCCCATAAAGTCTTCTTGTTTTTTATAGAATGCTCGCAAATCAAGACAGAAGCTCTGCTGTAGTATATACATATGCTTGGATGTGAGTGCAGATGGACCTAAAAAAGAGATGTCCCTTTACCAATACAGATGAAATCTTTAGGGGAGTGGGCTGTATAATATTAAGAAGCTTCCTCTCAATATGTGACCGCTCTTAAGATCACATTTCCATGAAAATGGAAAAATGTTCCTGAAACTAAATCTTGCCAAATATGAAAACTGTTTTTTCTAAACCAGAGAGACATTGAGGCTCTTGAGTGAAATAGTTATGTTTATAATGGACAAAACCATGTATTCTCTAAATTCATCCTTGTAATTGGCGCAGCTGTTGTAAATGGAACTTTCCAAAAACAAAGCAAACAAATCATGATATCAATCAAAACAACCAAAACAAGCTAAAATAAAACAGCTGGAAATAGATTCCCGGCAGGGGAAATTTCAGCTCAGACTGGCAGTTAGGAACAATTGAAAATGAGAATAGAAAGCACTGAGCAACATTTACACTAGCCTCGCTGCATGCTCTGTTATACCTCACTGCTAGGGATGAGGGGTGTGATTTACCATGATACCAACATACTAATTTAATGAATTCTCCTCACACAAAAAACCACTCCCAAGAGACCATCTGTTCTGTAAAACACAGCAACAGTTTCACAACAGACAGTAGTTTAAGTAATAGCTTAGGGAAAACAATACCAAATATTTTTCATAATTGAAAATACAGAGGAACCTTACAAGCTGTGTATAATTATGAGAATTCAAATTTAGCCCAGACTTCAGTGAGGAGTATCATTGAATCAGTAACTGCAACTGGGCATTATCCTATAGGTGCCAAAAGACGCTGTAGTTGTTTATGTTTTGGAGTCACCTCCAGTAGGACTGCATGATTTTGCTCAGTTTAATTCAATGCTTATTTTGTTTATGTCGTGTTTTTCAAGAGCTGCAAGTCTCAGAATGTTTCATAAAGAAATCCAAGATTTCTGGACTTCAGATTAATGAACCCAATTTGGTTTGTATTTTGAAGCCGTCCTGCCCTCAAGTGTCCTATGCTTGTTTTCCAACAGTTGCTGTACCTCTCGTCTTCCTTCCCACTGAATCTTGTGAGATAAGGTGAATGGTTCTATTTTCCACTGAGCAGGCAGACTTGGACAGCTCACGTGGAGTGGGTTTGTGTCACAATTAAATGCTAACAGAAAAAACAAATGGGACATTAGTAGTGGAAATTAAGTGTGTTAAAACCCTAATGAGAGTACTGATAGACTTTCCAGCAAATTCTTTGGAGCGGAAAACTCCCACACCTTTAAGCAAAGAAATATAAAGGAAAAACAAGATTTTGGCAGGGATTTTCAAATGACCCCTACATAAGGCAGGTATCCAACTCGCATTACATGGCATTGTGTTTCTCTCCCTGTGGCCAGGCTTATGTTCCGCTGACTTGCAGGAACAATGGAAGCGTGGGGAATGTCACAGCAGGCACCTCCAGCTACCACTGAGCTACATGTCCCAACCGATCAAGAATAGCTAATTTGAGAGAAAGCTAAAGTAGCATCAAGGAAGATGAGAAAATATGTACAAAAATAGCCTGTAGTGGAATGGTCCCAAACAAACAGCACTGGAAGATGAGAAGGGTAAAATGCTAGAATAACCATGTCAAGTGGTCTGATAAATCAGCTACGTGTGTCGTATCTGAGTCCTGAGGTCTGGGTCTGTTGGTTTCCCTGAACAAACAAACAGCATGAGCATCCTGTCTGCACGTCTGCCAGAGCAATTTCATGCAGATATCCCTTGGTTCTGAAGACGCAACACTGCAGGTTTGGGTAGTGTGGCTGGAAAGCCACACAGAAGAAAAGGATCTGGGGGTTTCCATCAACAGCCAGCTGAACATGAGCCAGAGGTGTGTCCAGGTAGCCAAGGAGGCCAATGGCATACTGGCTTGTATCAGAAATAATATTGCCAGCAGAAGCAGGCAGGTGATCATTCTTCTCCAGTCAGACCTGGTGAGGCTGCAACTTGAGTGTTCAGTTTTGGGAGCCATGACCACAAAAAGGACATGGAGGCCCTGGAGTGTGTCCAGAGAAGGACAATAAAGCTGTGAGGCGTCTGGAACACAAGTCTTATGGGGAGCAACTGAGGGAACTGGGATTGTTTAGTCCAGAGAAGAGGAGGCTCAGAGGAAACCTTATCACTCTACAGCTGGATGAAAGGAGGTTGTGGCGAGGTGGGGATCGGCCTCTTCTGCATAACAGTAATATGCTTAGAGGTAACGGCCTCAAGCTGAACCAGGAGAAGTTCAGGTTGGATATTAGGAAAAATTTCTTCTCAGAAAGAGTGGTGAGGCATTGGCACAGGCTGCCCAAGGAGGTGGTGGAGTCACCATCCCTGGAGATGTTAAAGAAGAGTGTAGATGTGACAGTGAAGGACACGGTTAGTTAGAAGGGCACGGTGGGGACGGATTGATGGTTGGACTAGGTCATCTTATAGCTCTTATCCAATCTTAATGATTCTATGATTCAACGCAGAGAATAGAAGTGCTCTGAGCAATGAATTAAGGGAGGGAGAGCCCAGCACGAGGGGCTGTGAGCAGAGCAGGGCCTGGCTCTCAGTCATGGGTTTCAGGGTGGATCTGATGGGGTTTTCAGAATTAAAATCCTAAGTCAGACTACAGATCTTTCACTCTGCCCTTGGAGCCCAGGAAGACCAGCCACCCCAAGGCTGCCCAAGGAGCTTCCGAAGCAGCAGACAACACTCCCTGAGCCGAGGGCTGCAGCTGCACAGCCTCGCCTGGACCCTGCTCTGCCTCCCGCTTCTGCCAAGAGCCACAAAACGGCGCTCCCCCCTCACGGCGCCATGATGGCAGCACAAACCCACCGCCTTCCTCGCTCCTCGCCAGGAGGAGGTCCGAAACCGCCGGTAGAGCCCGGAGGGAGGGCAGAGGGCGGGGCGGAGGGAGGTCGGAGGGCGGCGGGGCGGCGCGGCGGAAAGAGGTACGGCGGGAGGCGAGCGGGCTCCGGGGGGAGCGATGGGTTTGCGCTGCAGCCGCCTCCGTTCTGCCGGCGGGAGCTGCAGGCTCCGCCTGCCTTCAGCGGGAGCGGGGCCGGAGCTGGGGATGGGAGCGCCCTGCGCGGGGACAGCCGGCGGCTGGGCACGGCCTGCCGAGGCTGTGAAGGGTGGTGGATCAGAGGGCAGCTCTGAGCCCGGCCCCTGACCTCGTTTTCAGGGCTCATGTCGTAGCGCGGCCTCGTTTAGCCCTGTAGTTCCTGTAGCTAAGCCGTGCTCTGACCAGCCCTCAGCGCAGTGCAACAAACCCCACGCTCAGCTAGCGCCCAGCTCAGCGCTTGCCTATGTGTATTTTTGACTGGGAGCAGCCTGATAGAAGTATGGTATGCCTCTGTACTGAGGAGTAAGGAAGGGCCCCAGCTGGTGACAAGATGATGTGACAGCCCATAGATGCATCTTTATCCTTTGAATGGCGTGATACAGTAATAAAGCACAACTTCCAAGAGTGAGATGTTATTTAGAATACTTTAAACAATGTGGTTGTTTGGTTTTTTTTTACTCAAGTCTTCAGCCACAGTATGTTTTTTTCCCCCCACAGTTGGGACCATGGCTGTTGACTGGATTGGGTTTGCATATGCTGCTCTGTTGGCAGTTGGAGGCGTTGTAGGATACACTCGTAAAGGTGAGTCCTGATGTGTTGAAGTTGGGGAATCTCTTTCCTCTCTGCTACGTTTTGTGAAAAAGAAATGGTGAAAGGCATGTAACTTGTGCTGTAGTGAACACGACTGCATCTTAAATCCAGCCCGTGCTGCTAGAAGATTTGCTTGGATCAGCTTATGCTTCTTTCTGTTTATCCAACTGATGGGTTTGTTTTCGGGGCAAAAGTCTGCTCTTACTTTTGACCCTCAATGTGTTTTGTGCCATTTCATTTCCTTTAATTGTTCCTGTGTTAAGCACAATAGATTATCTTCAATTAAAACATATTTTCTATAGAGGCATCTGGGATTGATTTGGGGGTTTCAGATGCACACCAGGGAGAGTACTTTGTATTTACTTCTTCTGACCTGGAGGTTAATTATGTCTGGCATTTTTAACGCTGTACATTTTCACTCTAATTTAGGCAACCAGGTTTTAAATTGTCATGTACTTTAAGGCATATTTTCCACATTTGAGTCATGTCGATGGTGCTTGCAGTGAATTGGCCCAGCTGGCAGCAGCCTTCCTGAGCTGAGTGCAGCGCACCGGCAGAGGTCGCAGCTGTGCCGAGGACAGCCGGAGCTCCCTGCTCGCTGTCCCGGGGTGAATGTTCCAGCAGTGCAGCAGTCTTGTTCACCATGGCATTATCCATTATGATTCTGGGATTCAGGATCACCGAATACCAAGTGTGTGCATGTTTGCTCCTAAATGGCTTTATGTCTTTACTTTCTGAAAATCTTCCCCCCCTCCTCCCTGCCATCTGCTCTCACTAACTATCCCATTTGCTTGTTATCTTCTGTCTTTAGTAGCTGGTCAGTCCTTGTGGAAAATGTGATTTATTTATTTTTATCAGTAATGATTTCTGTTTTCTTGCAGATTCTTGATTAAAAATGTTCAGTATAACAGGACTGGGATCTATATGTCTTCTGGGGTTCTGGATTCTTCCTTTGTAATCATTTTGGAATCAGATTAATCCAGATATTGCCTGCTGTGCTGATTCTGCACTTTTGTCATATGGTACCAAGTCAAATGCCTATTCAGAAACCAAATATACTGCTGAAACTCTGGACTTCATGAACCAGTTGTGTAATAGCATTGAAAGGAAATGTCAAGTTAATTAAAAAAGACATCCTCATTGCCATCTAGTTGTTTGGGGGTTTCTTTGTTGCTTTATTTTTTTTTAGATCTATATTAAATGTAATGTCAGTGATACCATGGCATCCAGTTTAGCCTTTATATGCATTGACCATAATGACTTTAGTGTCATTTCTCAGAGGATCCCAAGTGCTATAAGACACAATAAAAATGAATAGATAGTCCAGAAAGGTTACAAAAATGCTTCAGAATGTATGCATGATAGAAAAAATAGCCTAGTTCAGGTTTGTTCTTCAAAGAGCATTCTTCCCGAATTACAAGTATTAGTAGGTCCTCATCCTCACCCTCTAACTTAACAGACATTGCCAGTAATGCTATACAAGACAATGACTAGGAGGGGTTACAGAAATGCTGCCTTCTTTCACACAGGCTGAGTTGGCTGCACAGTGGCAGACACGGCTCTTATTTTCAGAATATTCAGATAATACTGCGTAGAGAGAGTTACTGTGTAGACTGAGCATAAAGACATTGTGTTGAAAGATAACACTTGGATGTTTTCTTGCAGGTAGTAAAATTTCTTTAGCTGCTGGTCTTACCTTTGGTTCCATGGCTGGTTATGGAGCTTACTGTGTAACACGTGATCCAAGAAATGTGAAGATATCATTGTGTAAGTGTTTTACTACAGTTTAAAATAATAAAAAAAGGAGACTTCACTGAAGTGCCTGTAAAAATCTCTCTTGTTTTAAGTATCGTGACAATTCTTTGTTTTTTTCTTAATTTTTTTTTGAAATATAATTTGACACTTCAGTTTGGCTTGCAAAATTCAAGAGCTTATGTGTGGAACTATTGGCAAGATAAAGCAGCTCATTCACACACAACCAACAGGTGTGTAACCACAGTGCTGGGTGGTTACGTAACGATGTACGTGTTGTGAAATCCAGCTGAGAAACATGGAAAAGTACTGGAATGAAATCATACGAGACAGATCAGAATGTAACTTGAGACTTAAAGGTGGTGTAAGATAAAGTCTTGCATGATGTTGAATGTCCTTAGCTCTCAATGAAACAAATAGTTGATGTGGTGGTTTTCTTTACTGCCAAGAAAGGGTACAAACCATGCAATAATTATCATCCTAGCAAGCTTCCATGAAACCTTCATGAAAGCAAGGAACTACCCCCTCTATCAAAGGGGTACATCATTCACCTCATGTAACTGATTTGCAGTAAGAGTTACTGGAAACTTCTGCCACTCATGATTTTAGTACTGATGGCCTAGGCTGTGGTTTCACACACATTTAACTTGCATGTAATCCAGATTGTGCTAGCAAACAATCACTTTTTCTAACCTTAGTTAGAACTTATGGTAGAGCATTTTTGTTGGCTTTGTTTGTTTGAAATCAGCTACAGCTGTAAAAATGTCTTCCATTTAATTAAAAAAAAAAAAAAAGTAGCATTCACACCAACTGGGTTCTTTGGTAAAGGTAATCATAGTGTACCTGAGCAGCTCCTGCATGGTCTAAAATTGGATATTCAGGATTTGCAGCCATGAATTTGCTCAGATTACTGACATCTGACATTTGCACTGACGACACAACCATGAGTGTATGTAAATTTGTAGTCATTCAATGTGAGATGCTGTTAAGCAGCATCCAACATTGTACTTTTATGGGTCAATGAAATCATGAATTTGGATACAGAATTTGTGAAAGAGAAAAATTAGAACTTATTACATGTTGATTGTTTTCCAGTTCCCTCGTTTTGGAAGGACTGGTGTATGATTTCCACTAATGTAGATATCAGATGTAATAAACCAGGCTCTCTAATAAATGTCTATGGATTTTGTAGAAAATCAGAATGCTTTCATTTATGCTTAGCTTTCTGAAGTACCTAGAGCAACTAGAGCATAAGTGTGAGAGGCAGCCTAAATGCATGGAAGAGGGTGACCCTTCTGAGCATAGAAACTAGTGGGGTAAATTAGAATGTAATGAGACAAGTGCCCCAAACCTTTAAAAAGGATAAGGAAAAAAAATCTCCTCCATAATTGTGGTTATCTACAGTATCTGTTACCTACTTGGGAGCCTCCTACAATAGCGTGGGTAGTGATTCAGTACAAGTCCTTGTGTTGGGGTTCTTGTAACTTGTCCTGTGTGCCAGGTGTATGTGGCATACAGATACCAGAGCCAAATTTCCCTAGTAGTTTTATAAACTATTTTTTCAAGCATTTATGCACTGTTGCTAATTTGAAAATGCTTGAAAAAAAAAAAAACATTTATTAAAAACAATAAATAAATAAGGAATGGAGAGTCCACTGCCCCTGAAGTGAGCTCCTGTGTTTTCTAGACTGCTTACTGATTGAAATAGGTGTAGAAAGTCATGCTTAAGTTTGTTACTGAGAATGCAACTCAGTGCATTTGCTGTATTGAGCTGTTTTATGAGTTTTATCGTTATGGTTTACTGAGCTGAATTCGGCTGTATTATTTTTTTTAACTGATTAAAAGTGAAATGTTGAATATTCAATGCTTTTGAAAATCAGGTCTAAAAGATAAACATCTTAAAAACTCCCTGGCACATTTGAAAAGCTGAATATTGGTAACTGCAGAGACATCACAAACTAAACCCAGGCATGTTTTGTAGCTTCTAATTAATTGTAAATATAGTCGGGGCCCTAGACAAGATACATGCTGTGGAATAGTCTGCTCTTCAGACATTCCTGAGAGGATCATAACTATGGGACCAGAAAATAAGAGCAAGGGATAGTGAAGCAAGCTATCTTTAATGAGTGCACATGCTTAGCCAGGAGACTTTTGTTTGTAACTGCTTGAACTTGTCACATAATGTTGGAATGAGTTCAAAACTCATTTTTGACAACTGTGAGCACAGCTCACAGAACTGTCCACAGAAGGTGGGGGAGTTTAAAGAGAATTTGCTGGATGGTTTATCTGCTCCATGAGAATAGAAGAGCTGCCAGAGTGATACAGCCCAGCTATCAGCCCTGCCTCTGCTCTCTTCTATGAAACATTTCAGGTGTCAGTTTTTTAAATCAACTATAGCTATCTTTGCAGCTTTATGTATTCTCAGTCTCTTTAGCAGTCATTACCTGATTTGGAATCCCCAGGCCTGGTTGACTGGTCTGTTGCTACCTCTGTTTTCAGGTAAAAGGTCCAGGAAGAAGATGCAATTCCTTTCATGATGTTTGTTCTCCATTGCTTATGCTGCATCTGTTGCCCTGTGGGGCTGCCCACCTGGTGTTGCAAGCCTTGCTGCTAATCAGAAGTACTTATGACCACAGTGCAGGAGATGTTAAGCCATATCCTGGAGCAGAAATAAAGGAAAACTTTCAAATCTAGTTTTTAAGGCTTAGCAAATACAGAGCTAGCATCTAAAATGATTTCTTTTTTTTTTTTTTTTTTTAAGGAAAAAAAAATCCCAACAGTTTGTGTGTTCTAGCTCCTTGGATAACTAGTAAGAAAAACAATTGCAGTGTTGGGATTATGACACACTGTATTTGTAACTCAGCATAAATGTTACTGTTAATGAAGAGGATTCTTCCAACTTCATTGGTAGCCCCGATGAATGCAGATATACAGAGGAATACAAATTCACCACCTGACAAACTTGCTTTGCATTCACAGAAAAGGATTTAGCATTCTTCTGCACCTGGAAATTGTATCTGCAGCTGAAGGGAGTCCTGGTAATGAATTTTGGAAAAGCAAGAATATTTTTACAGATCTCTCTCTATGATCTCACATTTTACTAAACTATGTTTTGTAGTAAAACATGTCACTGACCTTTGATTACTCTCCATATTCCTGACAGTTCTCTCTGAAAGAGGTAACAAATGCATTGATTTTTTTTTTTTTACAGTTTCAGCTTTTCTTTTGACTGTTATAATGGGAATGAGGTTCAAGAGGTCCAAGAAACTGATGCCAGCTGGACTTGTAGCATGCCTGAGGTAAACATATATTGAGGATCTCAATGTAAAGATTTCACTGATTTTCAAATAGTTGCTACTCAACATCTGATTCAAGCTAGCATCAGTGGAGGTTACTACCATCTAGCAGCTGTATGGTTTAAGTGAAATTAGTTTGGTCCTGTTTCCATTGACCTGCTTTTTGTCTCACTAGGCAGATACATAAACTGAGGACAGCGTTTCTCAGCAAAGAAAGGAGATGTCTGCAGTGAAACATTAATGTATGTTGATAAGGCTTTTGGAAGAACCTGAGGAAAGCTTCAGTGCTTCCATACAGATATGCATAAAGCCAGTCATCTAACTTCATACAAAAGTCATCTTAAACACACACACACACACAGTTGCTAAAAGTTATAAATCAGGACTGAAACTGCAAAATGTTATTTTCTGTTGTGTCAATGACAGAACAGTATGCTTAGACAGACTTTTGGTGGACATTGATGCTATAGATTGAAACACTTTGAAAGATTGCTTACTAGAGATTCTAGTGTCAGGTATTTATGAATGTGCTGTTGTTTAATGATGATTTTCACTGTTTATGCACAATTGTATTTATGGACTTTTTTTTCTGTTTTCTTTTCTACAGCCTTTTGATGATTTTGAGGCTTGTTTTTATGCTTCTGTAGGAGAATGTAGCAACTTGAGAACTGAAGTATGTCAGCCATGCCCACCTTGCAAGCAGGCAGGCTCTCCATACTTGAAAGACAAATTGGAACACAAGTCTTATTTTGCTTTTATCTTTTCAGTAAAAGATCAATACGTGTACCCTAATTACTGGCACTTGCCAGCTGGTGTGTTGCAAGCTATTTATAAAAGCTAAAACAGTGGTTTGTTAATGATATATTTTGATCTGCTTAAGCAATCTGCTGACTCGAGGGACCTTTACCTCTAAGTTCGATAGCTTTCAGAGGTGCTGAGCACACCAGGAGACTGCATAAGCACTGTATCTCAGAGATGTATTGTTTTGAAGTATAATTTTGTAGCTTCTGTAATTAAGTAATCAATTCTAACCATATTGTTAGTCACTAATGAATAAAGGCATGTGCCTGTACTGTCTTGTACAAAAACCTGTCTTCCTTTTGAATACGTTTATCTTCTTCTACTGTTTCTAAATATCAAACCTACTATCAGTGTTGAAATAAAACTTTCAAGCTTCTCTCAGTTTTTTTATACAGAGTGAAGTGTCATTTTATCAGGGGAAGTTGGATGAGCTGCTCTGTACTCATTACTGATTTAAAACATACACTGTATCATGAACAACTATCCTGGCACTAAGGGATATGGTTTAGTGTCCCTTGTATCATAAATATACATATGTATACATAACATGCATAAATATTATTAATATATGTATTATTATTATACATATTGTTATAATAATATATATTATTATATAATAATAAATATTACATATATAAATATATATGCTTATATCTGTAAATATTATATAATATTATATACATATTATCTATATAAATATTATTATAATATTATAAAGGCTACCTATTTCTGAGTGTGTATCTCTGGTCTCAATGCTACACCAATCCATTAGCAGAATACCAAGCTTCCTTTTGCTGGCAGGGGCTTAAGTGCAGTGTTGCAGGCTGCTTGAACACCTAAGGCATATCTGATCAAAATGACTAATTGCAAATAACAAAAAAACTCTCCAGCTCCCACCTCGAGTCTTTAGATAGCAAATACTGGTACCAATCACCACCAGGTGTCACCAGACTTATGTGCAAATGAGCTGATATTCTATGGATTTCAGTTTAGGATCCTGATAAGTATAATGACAGCTGGACATGTAAGATGTGGTTCTTTCTATCCTGAATTAGACCTTCAAGGCCAGTCAGGGGAATTGGACTGCTGTGTACCATAATAACAAGCTTAGATGACCAATGTTGTAGATGAGATGAATCCTGCTTTGAGTGAGCTCTACTGAAAAGTTTAGGCAACCTACTGCTGAAATGTAGATGCCCTCCGTCAGTTGCTTGCTAGCTCATATCCTAAATGCAATGGGATTTTGCATTGTTCAGTACCTCCAGAGTAGAGCCATCTTTGCATTTTCAGAATCACCCCATGGGCACAACGACAGACATCAAAGCCAAACACTAACCCAAAAGCTTTTGTCTAAATACCTGTGCAGCCCGAGCAAGTAATGTTCTTAGCAAGTTTACTGTATCCCTTGGGGACCGAGCACACACTTACAGAATGCAGAGGTGATGCCCTGCGTTAGTCTCTGCAATGCTTTGACCACCATTCCATTTGGAACAGAGGCATAGCAACACAAAACTTCTTAAGTACTATGATGGGCAAACTGCCCTTCTAGTTCAAACTGCTACTTCCAGCTAGCCAAGCAGTGTTAATTTTAAGAAGTCAAGAACTAATATGAGCAGTATGTGGGTGATTGGGGTGTTCCAAATTTGTAACTCTGAAGTACATTATTGGCCCATGCAAGTCAGAAAAGGAGTTAACTTTGCTGGGCAGCAATTCTGCCTATAAACTGGTTCACAGGTATATCTCCCTCATCTGTTTGAGTCTTACTGAGAAAAACAACTAACTGGAAAGACAAAAAGAGTTTATGTCTATATTTCTGAAGTGGATGGTGACAATTTCCATCAAATGAGGGTAAAGAATCTGAAACAGGCTTTCTCTCAACAAGACCTTAAAGCATCTGCAAACTTTTACTGAAAAGGTAAGCAGAGCTGCTTTGAGAAGTGACTGGGAAGGTAAAAGTCAAGTGTCTTTCTCCTCACTGCAGCAGTCCAGCCATGCAAGAATAGGAGCAATGAATGACTAGTAGCAGACTAATTAGACACATGTACTTTGATCTTTCAGCAATCAAAATCTCTTCTAAGAGATTCATGTGAGGATTAAAATAGTTTCTTACTTTCAGCCATAAACTTACGGAGATCGTGAGATTTTATTTATTTATTTATTTATTTCTTAATACAGACAGCAAATAAATGCACAGGGATACATAGAATTTTGACCAGGAAAAGTAAAAAATGAATTACCAAATGTTATAGAGTGGCTCTTCTGGGCTGCAATTAATAAAAAGGGAGTGAAGAGGTTTTGTTGCAGTGCTTTGGAAACTACAGCTGAAACACTTTACCAGGCATGTACTGCAATTAATGGCTAACCAAACAGCAAACATTAGTGTATTTTATTTCATGTAACTGATGGTAGTAGGAACTCTTGGTAATAAAACACTGCCTTCTGTAATCAGCAGGTCCAACAGCCTTTAATCTAAATTGTCATCCATCTCAAAGATTATAGGGCACAAACCACAGAATAGATCTACACAGTTTACGCTTAAGAGGCACAGCTTAGGTAATATACTACAGGCACGTTATCTGTAGCAGCCATGTGATTAGATATTGAATATTTTCCTCACATTAGCAATTGATTTCTCATCTAATGGTGGCTTCCTCTGGCTGCCAGGCTGCAAGAATTTTTTGATTGTTGGGACATTGCTCATTCTTCCTTTAAAAGCCTGTAAGAAGTAAGAAAGCCAGTGAAAGCAAGGAAATTATAATCCCATCCTTTATAGCTTAAAAATCAGATGACTTGGATTTTTTATTCTCATACATACTTATTAAGCAGCGAACATTAGTAGCTACCTATAGTCAGATCAGCACTCAGTATTTTTCATGAAAAAAATGTATGCATATATATTTGCAAACATGTCTCACAACATATTGGTCTTTTTGGAAAATTCAGGTGTGAATATTCTAATCAGGAATGGTACTATAGAGTTTCCTTGGTTTTCCAGATGTGGATGGGAGAATTTAACATTAAAGAGTAAAAACTCAGCTGCAAAAGGTGAAATGGAAAAAAAAAAAAAAAAAAAAAAGGAAAAAAAAAGGAAAAAAACACAACCTGAATCCAAATACTACAGATGTATTTGGGCTAAAAAGAATCTAGGGCAGGAGCACCTCAGTGCAAAACACCACAGATGACAAGAAAGAAGAAACACTTCTGTATACAGTTTCTTCAAAATGTAATTTTGCTAGCAAAAGTAGGATAGGAACTGCAGCCACAGCAAGCCATAACCTTCTGTCCTGAGGCCCAAAGCTGTATTTGAAGACATGTTAGTGGCAGTGGCAAAACCAAACTGGTAGAGTCAGTAAGTGAATTCCTGCCAGCTGAAAGCAACTGGGAGCAGCAGAGCTGAAGGAAGGTGACTGTGGGGGTGTTCAGCTTGTTTTAGTCAACAGAAGATCAGAGAGCTGCCAGCAACTCAGTACAATGGTTCAAAAGACTTAAACATCAACGAGCTTTTAAAGCTGGGCAGTGAAATGTGTGTGTTACATTCCATGCTGAGATCAGATGATCACTAACCTGTAGCAGAGGGAATGCAGACAGTATATCAGACTTAAGTTCTTCTGTCATTAAAATGGCTTCCAGCAGGTGGATATCTGCCCAGCTTAGCTTGTTGCCAACAAGATAATCCTGACCATGGTCTTTTAAGGCCTACAAAATAAGAACAAATAAAGAAGTCATACAGTATGCAATGATTTTACCTAGATATAACAGACAGATTTCTACAGAAATAAACAGCAGAAGAAATCCATACAAGAACCCATGAAGATGATTTCTACTACAATCCCACTGGCCAATATTAGCATAAAAAAGGCAGCGACTTCTGGGAGAGACAAAAGCTTGGTACCTTGTTGCAGCTATTTCTTACACTGCCAAAACAAGCTCCACCAGAACCTGACTGCTGAAGCCATATGGAAGCTCTCAAGCAAAGCATCAGAACCAGATTTCCTTCAGTGCTTTGGAATTACCATTTGCTGCTCATAGTTCAAAGTGATCACACCTAGAGAGATTTTCCTGTCAGGACTGCATAAGGCATGGACTGCGAACCCTGCCAAGCTGAATCAATTGACGACTGAAGTGGCCAGTACAGAAGGAAAGTTATTACTTCTTCTGACAAAATTAGCTAGGCTAAAAGTCATGCAAAGTTTAGTTTTGTCTAATGTAAATTAATAAGGATTATTTTAAAGACTTTTCCCCAGTAAACATTCACATTAAAACTTGTAATAGTTGCCTATGACGCCATAGACAGTACAAAAGTTGCATTTTTCTAGATTCCAGAAAGTTCTATAAAGATATCCTCCAAAATATTCTGATTTCCCAGAGCTACCCTGTAGGAGCAGATCCCATGATGATTTTTTTATTGAAAACCCTTTCTCTCTCTGACCTCTTCCTTAACCTCTCTCTGCACTCCTCCTAGGGAACCAGGAATTTGAGCCAAACACGGCTGTGTAGCCTTGGCACCGACATGGAGAAACTGCTACAATGGGAGAAAGCGCTGCAAGAAAGTCTGCACAGCATAGCCATGCAGGGCACAAACAGCAGCAGGAGGTGAGGATCATTGCTAGCTCTAATTCAGAAAGAAAAAAATGTTAATAGACTCAAAAATAAAAGAACCTAAAGAGAAAAACAAAATAAACAGCAAGTTGGTAGGAAATGGCAACACAGTAACACAGAGGCTATGTTCCTGGGAGCAACAGAAAACAACCCTTCCTCTCCTTGCCAACTCCTGTGCAGCAAAGGCAGGCTTTTTGCGTGCTTTGAGTGCAGTAAGTGTACTAATGCTCACAGCTCCTTAGAGGCCACCTCTTTAGTGCGTGCTAGCCAGCAGATAATTGCTTTCCTGCTTTTAAGCTAGATACATTCTGTTCGTGCACATCTCTCTGTGCACATCTAAGGGTGCCCAAATAATGCAATTCAGAAAAGGACAGTAATAATCTCTAGATTACTTCCATTAAAACAGTGGGTTCATGAAAAATCACAAAATTAGGTCCTTAATTATAATATGTGGTTGGATTTAACTTTGAACATCAAGGGTATGTATACTTTTAGGCAGGAAGCTCTGAAGGCTGGCAAAGGTATTTAAATGGAGCATTTGTGCAAAACAATGGGAGCTACCAGCCACTAAGCTATGTGCAAAAAGTTTAAGTGCACTATTTGCAAATTTGCCCTTTGAGTAGTCTTTAAGACAGCAAAGGTGCATAGTACTGAGATCAGCCCAGTATTTGCAGCTTTCTTTTCCCATTGCTGAATGCTGGTTCCATCATACAATCCCAGAGCTGTACGTACCACCACCTGCCTTCAAGCTATGAGTGTGGGGCTGGGGCAGGAGGGCTGCA